TATGTATTGAATCGCGTGATACTGTTGGAGGGGTTTTAGATGGTCGTAAATACAATAAGGCAGTTCGGTTACATAAGTTAAACTATGAAGCTCTTCTTCGGCAGCCATGGAAAAGTTTTATTTCGTATTTGCAAACAAATCACCCAGAATGCAGTGATGTTATTGACCAAGCAATTTAATGTCTTGGTAATTTTCACAATGACACGTCTTCACGTTACTTTGAGCGATGTGTCAAACTAATGGATCTGTTTGATGGTTTCTGTAGCTTACCCCAAGTGACAGATTGGTCAACTATCTGAATTCTGGATGTCATACACAGATATGTTTCAAGTTATGGTGGATTTAACCTGTGATGCCTTCGATGAAAGCTGGCAACATCAATTGGCTTCGACTGATACTTTCCTGATGTGTTTTGCTTACGATAAAATTACTTATTATTTTTTAGTCTAAAGTGGGCAGATGTTAAACCTCCCCGATGATCACCTAGACGTTGATAAACAAATGACTGAGGGTTATTATTTATACCAAGATGTTGATAAACAAATGACAGAGGGTTATTATTTATACCCAGATGTTGATAAACAAATGACAGAGGGTTATTATTTATACCCAGACGTTGATAAACAAATGACTGAGAGTTATTATTCATACCCAGACGTTGATAAACAAATGACTGAGGGTTATTATTTATACCCAGACGTTGATAAACAAATGACTGAGGGTTATTATTTATAGCCAGACATTGATAAACAAATGACTGAAGGTTATTATTTACATACAGCTCCAGAACTTTAATTTTCAGCATAAAGACCTTCGTAAAAAAAATAAAACGAGACGAATCTCATGCAACATCGTTTGTTGACATGTTAGAAAATAACAGGATCAATCCCTTCGGTTTAGAGTCATTTGCAGTTGTAACATCTGATATAATTTATGATTTACGGGAGGCATATGTCAAAGATCAACAGGCATCTTTCGAATTCGGAGAGAATCGATTAAAAATAAATTCTCCCATCGAACATTTCATGGGAGACTTCCCAAAATGAACATAAAAACATTTTTAACGTAACCTGAAAGAAAAGAGAATTAAAGTTTTTGTCAAAGAAATAGTGATAAAGGTAGATAGAAATGTATTTAATCACATGCTTTCGATAGGACAAGATATTCAGTTTATTATCCTTCGTACGTTGTTCTTTAGGACCCGTCCCTTGGGCATTAGTAGCTTCAAATAGACTTCTAAGGAGGACTAGTAAGTCAGCAGATGTTTGTGAGTAGGGTTAACGACTGATATATATATATGTTTGCCTTTAAAAAAATAATCATATGTAAGTATATATATATGTCAGCTAAATCAGGCTTATTTCAATGGTTTGTTTTTATTGTTGTGGTGAAAACATGACCTTTTTCTTACGAAATGACAATGAGATGGGGATTGGTGTAATCGATATAAAGTTAAAAATTCTTAGAATAAGCGATGAATATTGGATTTATTTTGTGAAATAATACGCCAGAGTCTCCTTGATACATTGTTTTGTTTGTTAATTTCGTCTCACCCAAAGAATTTGTCAACTTTGTATTGTCTTAATTTTGAAAATTGCAAATATAAGTTTTGTTGGACTTCAATCATAAAGAGGTTTAAAATGTTACATTTTTAGGGCTTAAACTACCCATTACACATATCTACCCATTAAAAATGTCGAATAAAAAACATGTAACATTTTACACAGTTAAGGTAGAACTTATCCCCTTACTGGTACCAACAAGAGCTTCCAGGATCTCACGGTGGGACAGCGATAAGTTTATAAATTTATAATGCTAAAATTCGGGGTCCGATTCCCACAGTGGACACAACAGATAGCCCAATATAGCTTTGCTCTAAAACAAACAAACAGTTTTTTTAGGGCCAGGCTCATGGACAAAAATTTACTTGAATAACAGACCAATGTTACCTTACTGATCTTAAAAAGAATTTATGCACTAAAACAATTTCCAAACGGATACCAAAACTTTTGGTGTGCTTATGGCTTAGTTGGTGTCTTTCAATGTAAAGACAACGGTGTTATCTTTAATTAGTGAGACAGGTAAACCTGTAACAGTAAACCAGACATTGAAAAAATTAGCCTTCCCTGCTAACGAAGGGCTCATAAATTATTGATTTTGTTTGTTGTTAAGCTCAAAACCAGTATATAACGGACTAGCTGCACTGTGTCCATCGAGAGGAATCGAATTCCGGATTTCATGTTACAAGTTTACCGATGAACTACTGTGGAACAGCTCGTGGTAAGCTTGAAAACTTGCATTTAATAAATCTCCCAAAAGTTTGTTTTCTTTTTCCTATAATTAAAAACAAAACCCCTCAAACTTACTTTCACGTTTGAAGTTTTGAAACAGCAACAGTAAAGTCAGGTACATTCAATAATGAAAAGAGTTCATCAAAAAGGAAAAAAAGAGAGCCTGGCATGGCCAGGTGGTTAGGGCGCTTTACTCGCAATCTGAGGGTCGCGGGTTCTTCCAATACCCGTCCCTCCAAACATGCTCTCTCTTTTAGCCGTGAAGGCGTTATAATATGACGGTCAATCCAACTATTCGTAACTAAAAGAGTAGCCCAAGAGTTGGCGGTGGGTGGTGATAATCAGCTGCCTTCCCGCTAGTCTTTCACTGCTAAATTAGGGACGACTAACGCTGATAGCCCTCGGGTAGCTTTGCGCGAAATACAAACCAAACAAACAATCATCAAAAGGGCAGAGGCTTAATGACAAAAAAAGGGGGTGGGGCGACTTTTCAAGCAGTGTAAATCAAGAATTTTTTTTA